CACAACTCCTTGTGATTAATAGATTACCTAAAAATTGGATCTTCGGATTCTATTATTTAATATTATTTATCACAAAATTAATTTAAATAAATATAGATCTCGCCAAAATCAAATGCATTAAATATATTAAAAGCGTTTACAACCTAAATCGATTGGATATAGGGCATAACACTTACAGAAAATACATGAAAATCATCAGTAAGTTTATATAATTGTAAATATCATCTATCACGGTGGAATCTGTAGTACAACAACTATATAAATTTATAGTTTGAATGTGAATTTCATCACATCATGATAATATGAAGTATGCAGTCTCACACAATCTGAAATTAGAAATGATAACACAAACAATTATGATACATCACAACATCTAGATCAAATTATAACACTTCATCCATCAATTTTATTATTTTCGCGAAAACACTTATTCACCTACATCAATGGCTAAGTTTTTTAAAGTATAAATAAATTTGACATCACACAATTAACACATTGTGTAACTATTTGTCATTTCCGTGGATGCTTGAGTCACGATTGCATTTTTGCACATGACTTAGTGGTCGAGCCTACTTACATGTTCTTTTGTTGTGTTCCCTTTCCACCATATGATCAACATCTTGTTGGCTGTATGCACTCTCCCTTGTTCGTCTCCTTGTATTCTTCGGCCTCATCAAGTGGAACAATGCTATTATTGTACGTGTCAACATAAGATTCCTTTAAATGGTAATGAGAGCAATTTTTGTACGGTTGTACCCCGTTTGTCCTAATAACAGCTAGTGAATGTGGATAGGGGAACCCCATCAATCTGGAACCAGTTGCAAGTGCCAATCAACTCTCTTTAATTGACTGGGTACGTTGTGTTAGTGTCAAAGACTTGATTCAGGTAATTTGTTGATGGAGATACTTTAGTTCATTGTAATGGAGAAAGTTAACATTTATATAACATCATAGTGCAATAATTATAACGACAATACATCCATATTTAAGAAAGCTTGTAATAAAATGTTGCATATAAACTACATAGCATATATTATATATGTTATCATGTTTCTTCGTTGAATCAGATTCCTATTATCAGTGATCTTTAAATTACATACGATAGCATATGATTCTTAATAAACTCACGGGTCATAGAAATATATAGACATTACATTCATCTTCATTGAATGCCTCACATTATTTCAAAGTAGGTTTCATAGCTAGTCGGGTGAGTGTTCCTTCGACAAGTAAACCATACATATAGAACACACAAGTAAAACAAAGGGCTCGGGTTTATGAAACGAATTATTGTTGAATCACATCGTGTTTGTTTATTCTCACTGAGAAATCTGTTATTTTTCAAGGAATGTAATAATTATTCTTCAAAATTCTCAGAGAAGTCATACGTTGTAAAATAGCAGAAGAATATATATATATATATATATTCAAGATTCAGTGAGTACTTAAGTTTTGTAGCTAATATATATTACCTAGGATTACGAAGTATTACAGTGTAATGAAAGTCCAAAATCTGTAAAAGTGAGCATGATGGCATGTTAATTTGATGCTCCAATCGAAAATCTGTTCATCAAATTCTCATTACAATTGTCCATTTAATTTTTTTTATTCATAATTTTGCTAATGTTTTGGTATGTCATCAATAACAGTAACATGTGCTCTGTATTTTAGGAAGGTCCAATATATGATTTAATTTTATGCCTCAATCTATATTTCTGGACATATTACAGAAGATAAGTACATATGGTATTTTTATTTTTTGAGATGCATATTCTTCAAATTAAAGGATTTCTACGATGATATGAAAGTCAAACTCAAGCAAACAATTCATAAGAACTTAGCTATTGTTCTCGAAACGAGTCACAATTTTGCGGGACATGTTAATTGTTCTCTCATCGAAGTATAATTATAACATATAAGTTGATAGCATCGACCTTCTGAGGTTAAACCCAAAGTCTTAATAAATAAAATTATGATACAAGTTTAGGGGGATTGAATGCTTATATTGAGTAACATTGTTGGATGTCATGAACGATCGTGCTTGAAGCTTTTTTTAGGGCTTGGGCTTTTTCTCCATGTCAACATCACCCGTTCTAGCCAACACCACTGACATTTGGATGTTGGCTATTTTTATATAGCAATGTCGTACGTGTATGATTATCTTAGTGCAATAAAAATTGAACGAGAGACTCGTGGAAAGTGATGTAGAAAATGTATTTACATAATAGAAGTATTAAAGCTCTTATTTTTTATTGGGCTATTTATGCAAACATTTGGATTTTGGCTAATTTTATGTAGTGATGCCTTACGGGCAAGGCCGTTCTTGTGATTATTGGGGCCCGAGGCGAAATTCAAAAATTAGGTCCCCAAAATCAACGTAAATGCAAAATTCAACGATATATTATGCAACATATTATTAATTTAAAATTTAAGATTAAAACAACAAATGAATATCTCAATCATTTTACAATTAATGAAAAAACTATTTTCCTTTTTCATTTCCTCCTTTTAATATTAAAAAAAAAAAAGAAAAAAAAAACTTTGGATCAAAATAGGCCCCTTGTGATTTTGGACATGAGGCCATTTGCCTGTGCCCAGGACCGGCCCTGCTTACGGGCATAGTTATCTTAGTGCAATAAAAAACTACATGAGAGACTCATGGAAAGTAAACTATTTGAAAGTAATTAAGAGTTAAATCAAGACACGCTAAAGCAAGATTTTAAATAAATTGACCTAAAGCTTAAATATTTTTAATTACAACTAAAATTTGTTAAATAACTTACAAGTATTGAAAATTGTGTAATTTTTTTTTTTATTAAGGGTAAACATGATTCAATTCAATCCGATTCGAATGAGAACTTCATTAGAATTAAACCAACAGGATATAAATTGAAAATCCTACACATGGAGCTTAATAAATTCCATGTATATTGGAACGAAATAAACCGATTCTTGTTTGGCCAACTCAATAATTTTTTGCACATAAAAAAAAAAAAATTCAATTTATAAAGTACGAGTTTTGTCCATTAACCTGACACTTTTCATGCTTTTCTTTCTAGCAATGAAAGTCTTATATTCAGAATACACATCAATTAATGTATTAATCTAATAATTGATTTAAGAGTGCGTTTAATTCTCAATATTTTTCATGAAAAATATTATTTTTTCATCCAAATTCTTACTTTTATATTGTTTGATTGATATTTCATTGCATGGAAAATATTTTCTTACTTTTGATTACGTAACTATATTTTCTTTAAAAAAAAAAAAAGAAAAAAAATCTTTAGGGAAGTATAAGTTTTTATTATTTCAAGTAATTCACTTTTCCTTTCTCTCTTGTCTACTCATTCTCCTTCCTATCTACCTACCAATAAAAAATGGACAAATTTAACTTTTTTATGTTGAAAATAAAATTAATCGAATACATTTAATTAACAATTTTAATTGCCTAAAATTTACTTTCTTTTTATATAAATTTCATGCTTGCAATCAAACACACCATAATAATTGTTAAATAGAATTAAAATTCAGTTACAAGACGAGTTGAAAATTGGGTCAAAAACGATTCTCGATTCTCGTATAAAAACTCATTTATTTAAAAATAATGAAATTTGAACCAGACAAATGTACAATCAGTAAAGCTGTGAAACTAGAAACCTAGTACCTTATGTAGCAACAATTGTATGTTAGTTGCCTCATTTGTTATATCGACATAAGAAAAGAGGGTTAAATCCATCAATGACGACCCAAACTTCATATTTAGTAACACTATGACCATCCAATTTGAATTTGTTTCATCATAGCTACCAAACTTTATATTTAGTATCATCAGATTATTCAATTTTATTTTATTTAACCATAATCATCAAATTTCATAAAATGATTCATCATGACCATCCAATTTTCATTTAACGTTTCACTATGGTCACCCAACTCTTTTCAACATTTTCACTCATTTTAAAAGTAGTAAAATGAAAACTTTGCATTATATATAAAATATTTTTTTAAAATAATAAAATTTTAATTTAAAATATATAATAAAATAAAAACGTATATTAAACACGTTATTATTTTTTTAATTAAGTTTTTATTTCATTATATTTTTCAAATTTTTTGTTTTTTTAAAATTTATTTTATATATAATACAAAATTTGTATTTTACTCCTTTAAAATTAGGGTATGTTTGATTGCATTTATTTTCTATGAAAAATATTAGCTTTTAACCCAAATTTTCACTTTGGAGTGTTTGATTACTATTTTTTTTATTAAAATTTTTTTTAAATTTTTGAAAATATGCCTAATCTTCTTTGCTTTTAAGGAAAATATTTTCTTTTGAAGGATTATGTTTTTGTTTTCCTCAAAAAAAGGAAAATATTTTCTTTTCTAAGTGATATTTTTCATACCAATAAAAAGCACTTTTAGTAAAAAAAAAATGGTGAAAAGAAGTTCAATGGTTATATTGAAATATTATATGAAATTGGGTGATCATGAAGAAACATTTTATAAATTTAGGTAATCATTGTGAAATAAAATCAAATGGATGACCACAGTGATATTAAAGATAAAGTTGGAATATCACGATAAAATAGAATTAAATTGAATGATCATGATGATATTAGGACATGTTTGATACTGATTCTTGATCAATTTTTTGACATTTAGAGAAAAAAGTGAATTTCACTTATGAGTGAAGAAGTAAAAAATGACGGTCGATTATGTTGAGCCCTTGTTTGAGCCACATTATTTTTTTTTTAATATGTATTTTTAAATAGTGTATTGATAGAAAATGTGTGGTTAAAAAATAAAAAATAAATTTGAATTTATGTATAATATTATTTTATTAAAAAATGTATAATTGAAATAATATTAAAACACTGTTTAAGAATATATTTTTTTTTAAAAATGTCGCACCAACATGAGTAACAATAAAAAAAAATTAATTTTTTTGCTTAAAAAATAAGAACCCAAACCCAAATAAGTTGAACACGTTCACATAAAGATTCCATTTTCACTTCACTTCCACAATTCACTGTCTTCAAAACTAATATTACGCCCAAAATCCCAAAACCTAAACCCAAAATCACTCACGAATTCTCAAAATGCAAGCTTGATTCCCAATCAAAACGAAATAAACTCCTGGCTGCAATTCAATTTCAATGCTTCATATCGTGGCCGGCAAATTAAAGTAACTAAAAGATGGATCAACTTAAGATGATCGGGCGGGAGCTCGCAATGGGCTCCCAAGGTGGGTTCGGGCAGTCCAAAGAGTTCCTCGACCTCATCAAATCAATCGGCGAGGCTCGATCCAAGGCCGAGGAGGACCGAATAGTTTTACGCGAAATTGAGACTTTAAAAACCCGACTGGCTAACCCGAATACGCCAAAATTCAAGCTGAAAGAGTACCTTGTACGTCTTCTTTATGTTGAGATGCTTGGACATGACGCTTCTTTCGGCTACATATATGCTGTCAAGATGACCCATGATGAGAATTTGCTGTTTAAAAGGACTGGATACTTGGCTGTTACACTTTTTTTAAATGAGGACCATGATTTGATTATCTTGATTGTAAATACTATACAGAAAGATTTGAGGAGCGATTATTATTTGGTGGTTTGTGCTGCGCTGAATGCGGCCTGTAGGTTGATTAACGAAGAGACAATTCCTGCAGTGTTGCCTCAGGTGGTGGAGCTCTTGGGGCATCACAAGGAAGCAGTGAGGAAAAAGGCGGTGATGGCACTCTATAGATTTCATCAGAGGGCACCTGGGTCAGTTTCCCATCTTGTTTCCAACTTTCGCAAGGTGAGTATAATCTGTGCATGTAAAAGTTTGGCACATAGATGTGTACATGCATATTGGAAGGAACTATGTTTTTTCAAGGTTGTCTTAATTGTAATCTTTTTATATAGAGATTAAAATGGCTGATTCTGTGACAATGTTATAGTGTATATGGTGGTGCAGGTTTTAATGATGGTGTTGAGTTGGTTTAAAATAATAATTGTATATATATATATGTGTATGTGTGTATATGTACACACACACACACACACACACACATATATATGTGTGTATATATACACACACACACACACACACACACACACACACACATATATATATATATATATATATATATATGTATGTATGTATGTACACACACACATATATACATATATATATATACATACATATATGTATGTGTGTGTATATGTATACACACACACACACACACACACACACACACACACACACACACACACACACACACACACACACACACACACACACACACACACACACACACACACACACACACACACACACA